CCCTTAACGCCAAATGGAAATACCATACAACTATCCCCTATTTCTTCAACTATCCCCTAAACAATCCCTTAAATAAGCAATCCCTTAACAACAAACCCCTAAAGCTTTGACTCTCCTTAAACAATCCCTTAAGAAACAATCCCTTAATTTGTGCTGGTCAAGTTTTTTGTCAGTCGTGAAGCTTTTTAAATCCTGAGTGAAAACCGTCCAGGTAAGAAAATGCTGCTTCAAGATGCCTCTTCGCTACCCGTAGCTAGCCTCGCATATATTATGTCAAAGAAATTTTTAAGAGTCCCGGTGACGTTCCGGCTTCATTCAGCGACGATGATGACGACGATGATGCTGATGAATAGCAAGTGTAACATGATGCATATTGTCGGTTGCTTCGGAAGATCAGCAGACCTCCTGGTTTCGCAGCATTGGTACGGTCATGCATCTTTTAAAGAATCTTTTAGTTTGTTGCCTATTTTGTTTCTATTATAAATGAAACCAACCGTAGCTAGCAGTAGTGTTATGTGTGATGGGCGGAACTAGTATTGGGTGTGATACCGTTACAGAAACTTGATCATCTTTAGATCTCAGCCAAGCCATCATCACCCAACCTGGGATTGCGATCTCTCCCGCCTGCCAAAAAGTCCAGGTCCACAGAGACTGCACCATGTGCACGGTACGCAATCTCAGCCACGAGGATCGTAAGAGGTCGCATGGACAAACCCGTAACTTGCTCAATCGGTCCAGCAAGCGACGAGCCGAGTCGAGTCCTCACAAAGGCGCGCACCGTGATAAGAGTTTTATCATCGACAGAGCAATTGTGCAACTTGCGAAGAGGCAGACCTAGCCCGATAGAGGATTGAAGAGGGGCCTCAAGTGGTCCAGCATGCGATGGGTCCAGGGCTCGATGAATCGCCAGTGAGTGCTTCGGCACTATAGCGGTGATAAGACCTTCATTTTCAGGATCCCAGCTATGATAGGAAGAGCACCCCATCCTCGGTCTTCGGAGTGACGAGTGACGAGTCATTGCGGGAGCTCCAACCAATGGACGGTCGAATGCCGATCCGATCATTGGATACCGGGACCAACAGCTCTGCTGGGTTTGCAGAATACTGCATTGACCCTGACGCCCAACCAAAACCCTTGACTCCCTTCTGGCTCACTGCCCTCAGCTTAGCATCCGCTCTCTCCTTAACCATTTACTTTGGTCCGTCTTATCAACGCCAAGCTCAAACGACAGTTATGCACCATGACTTCCACCCGTGAGACCACTGGTAAGAAGCAGAAGTTGTCGCCACACTCCTTGTGGGAAGCAAAGGACATTTGGGTCAATAACATCCTCCCTTGCTTGGGAATGGGGCAGTATGCCTACCTTGGCTGAGTCAACAAGCAGGTAAATCAACATTACAAGGACTACTGTGATGGTGTGAAGAATCCACCCATGGTGAAAGATGGCAATGGAAGTTTGGTTCAAGCAACCAGTACTGATTTTTTCTACAGCATCACATTTTGCAATGACGCTCGTGCTGACTACTGGCACCATGACAAATCAGCCCACAAATCCCCACTTCCCAATCAAGTCTGCACAACACTTGCAAAGCTCGGAAAGCGTGCCATGATTCGATGGGCCCGAGACAAGGGATATCCATGGGATTCTTCAGTCTGCGCTGATGTTGCCCGTAGTGGAAATTTGGAATTGCTGCGGCTGGTTCGAGATTATGGCTGTCCATGGGGAGCATCTACTACTGCTATGGCTGCCCAAGGAGGCCATATTGCCTGCATGTTATGGGCCCATGGCCAAGGTTGTCCATTGGATGAAACGGCATGTGCGATGGCCGCTGCTGGTGGGCAAGTGGATGTTCTCGTTTTCTTGTATTCCGGTGGCTTTCCTTGGGATGAAACAACCTGTACCATGGCCGCCAGATATGGACATTTTCTCGAACTAGAGTATGCCCATGATCAAGGTTGTCCATGGGATGCAGCAACATGTGCTGCTGCTGCCGAAGGAGGCTATTTGGAAATCCTCATGGGCAGTCCATGGGATGAACGAACATGTGCTATGGCTGCTTCTTGTGGACACTTGCGTGTTTTGCAGTGGGCTAGAGCCCATGGATGCCCTTGGGACAAGACAACTCTTCAGATGGCCGAAGACAGTGGACATTTGGAAGTGGTACAATGGGCCCGTGACAATGGTTGCCAGTAATACTAGCCTGGTTTGTTTGATATCCTCGCTGCAGAATTCAGAATTCAGAATCCTCAGGTCGTCCGTAGAAATTAAAAATAAGCCATGAGCTTGCATTGGGAACCTGTAACGGATAGCCATCATGTCTTTCAAATCGAATGGAACGTTACCTGTACGAGTACTTGACAATCTAGACAATCTAGACAAACGAAGTTAACAATTGATTTTCACGCACCGGTCATGACAAGGGTACACACTCGCTAGCACAAGAGGGGGGAAATTCACGTTGGCCGAAGGGATGGAAGACAATATGGTGCCATTCTTGATCGCAGAAATTGTGGTGTGCATAGAAAGGGCGTGCGTAAGCAAGAAGCCTGTCAAGCAACATTGATCCAGCGGTGTTGGTCAAGAGTGGTAAGGCCTTGATCGAACAATGAAGGACCGAGCCATCCGCACTTTTGCCGACCATATCACCGGAGAAGATCATACCTGTCTTGAGACTAGCAATCTCGGATCCTTTGTCCGTCTCCCCCGATAAGTTGGCCATTCGCGTTGTGAGGATTGTGGCTGGGTTGCCATTGACTCTTTCCGTTTGGAAGAACACTTTTTCGTCGGGTACCGTAAGGCCCCATGCCAGCTGAGTTCCCTGAGCAGAAATGCAGCGAGTTGGAGTCAACGAAGCTCTTCAATTTCTCAACAAACAAAACAGTAAGCGAGCCAGCAAGCTCACAACGACCCCATGATTGACATATCTGCCAATTTTGCGCGTCATGTCTCATGCAGCTACATCCTTGTTCTTCTAACCAATCTTGCACTTGCATCCTAACGGTACCTGTACCGGTATCCCTCCATACCCAAATGTGTCAAGCTGTCGTGTAGGGTTCTTAACCCTGAAAAGCTCCAAGCTCCAATTCTGGGCTAGTGTACCGACAGCTTGCTCGAGACTCCAGACTTGTACATGGATCCATCACAGTTTGATCTGCCTTTTTTAAAAGCAATTCCCCCAATTCCTTGAAGGAAATCGTTCAACCGTGAGCGTGAATGCGAGCATTCACGAATAATGACTCAGATTGACTCATGGGGATGGGCAAATCTCACTATAGCCCTGTAGTGTACTCAACAGGAGTGACTCAGAATGTCAGAAAAAGGATAAAATGAAGCTTTTAGCCTGAAGCAAAATTCAATTGGATTAGATTGCATTGGATTAGATTGAATTGGATTGAATTGGATTCCAAATAGTACTGTTATTTGTATAGTAAAATGGAATTCAATGCAATCCAATTCAATTCAATCCAATCCGATCTAATCTAATAGAAAAATTGCAGCCCAAAACAAATATTCGCTTTTTCACAGACACTTTTACAAAAAACGCTATCAAATATAATGCTGGGCAATCCGCAAGTTTTGCTCATCCCCCATTACCGGTACTGGTCAACGTGGATGCTTGCTGAGTCGAGTCCAAAGGAATTGCCAGTTAGACTACAGTAGTCTAATGGTGAAATACAGGGAGAAAGGGAACCAAGGCTTGGCTTTAGAGGCTGGTTCACAGGACACGTGTAGACAACTGTGTGGATTTATTGGAACCCGACGGCTCCTCGACTCTCGTGTTGCCAGCTCGACTACTGTAGCTTTTCAACAACCGAGACCGAACCTCACAGCCTCACAGACCGTTGCCTTCGAATGAGGTGACACCTGGATCAGAGGATGAAACTCGGGAAGGATTCAAGTGAAATCCGTTTATTACTCAACCCCGGGAGGAAAGACAGCCACCGTCTCTTTAGAAACCATGATCTCCTATCACCTCCAAAAGATCTCGGCCGTTCGGGAATCATCGATTAGTCAACCCTGGTTCGACCACAAACTGCCGAGTTCTTGCCTTCCTCATTGGCAGCAGCAACATCACGTTTTCTACACTCAGCAGCACTATCCAAAGATAGATGGCCGATCCCATGAAAGTATCGGGATCACGTCTGACGCAGATATCCTCACTTCCACATGAAGGTCGCGCACAGTAGACTTCAGCATGGGAAGGGCCCTTACGGATTCAGTGGTCGCCCAGATCTTTGCATCGCCAGATAGATTCACAATTTCGAAAACTCACAGATCAGAATCCAATCTAACAATCTGACAACCATCTCATTCGACTACGCCAATCCATTGAAACCAAAATGAAGTGGGCCACTCCTTTGTCTCTTTTCTTCCTGGCAACACGCTCTCCCTCTGCCTTTGGCGATTCCTTCTTCTTGGGGGAGCCTGATGGCACTCCACCGGATGATGCTGACGACGGGTTGTTTCAGGAATCAACTCACTGCCATTCCGGAAGTGTTATCAATCGGTGTGGTGACATCTTCATTGAGAGACACACTGTTGCGGAGCTCTCAACAAGCGGTGGCTGCAATTCCGTCGCGGACCTCTTTCAATGGGGTTGTTGCATGGAAGCTCGACTGATTGAACTGGATATTTATACCGATATCAACCTGGTGCTGGCTACTGCTTGCTTTTTGTACTACTTTTGGGACTGCGTTGTGACGGGTGACGGCTGCCTTGATTTTGGTGGCGGAGGACCTCCTCCGACTCCTCAGCCAACTCCTGCTCCGGTTACCATTCCAACCCCTCTTCCTCCGACTCCTGGTCCAACTCCTCGCCCCACTCCCCGGATGGGAACTCCCTGGCCGACCCCTCGCCCAACCCCTCGACCCACGTCCCTGCTTCCTGTCGGTGGACCTCAGCCTGCAGGAATTTGCTTCTCCAAGTTGACCACGGTTGCTGTATCTGGTAAAGGATCCATCTCCATTTCGGAGGTCCAAGTTGGAGATCGTGTTGTGACGGCCCAGGACTCTAGTGGAAAGGAATTGTATGAGACGGTATTTGCCCTGGGCCACTACAACCCCTCCGAGTCTGGAGATTTTCTTCAATTCCAGGTGGCGGAGGCTGATGGAAGTACTACCTCAAAGAAGATGATGCCTTTGGAGGTGTCAGCAAGCCATTTGGTTTTGATTCATGATGGGAAGCAGCATGCTGTCAGAGCTGATTCTGTAAAAGTAGGAGACGTTCTTCAAGGCCCTCAAGGACACGGCGACTATCGTATCTCAAAGATCCACCAAGTCAGTCGCCAGGGAGTGTTCAGTCCTTTGACGCCATCTGGAAAGTTGGTGGTCAACAATGGTATTGCTGCAACAGGCTACGTGGCAGCCCCAGGACAGAACTCTGCAGAGCACTTGCAGTCCAAGGATGGCTTTCTGTTTCCGATGTCTCACTATTCGTACGCTCATCTTTTCATCGCTCCGTTCCGTCTGGTGTGCATGGGAATCTTGTCCAGTCTCTGTACTGCCATGGATGAGGATGGGATCCTTCAGTATGTCTCGACAGGTTTTCGGGTTCATGGATGGATCGAAGAGCAGAACACACTGGTCCAACAAGTCCTCTTGGTTCTGTTCAGCCTTGTTTGCGGGATTTGCATGGTAGTTGAGTTTGTCTTTGGTGCTACATATGGTCCTCTTGCTATCTTCTTGGGCATTATGGCCTGGATCTCCTTCATCAAGCCCAACATGACGAACCGCTTTCAGCAGGCAAAGGCGAAAGCCGCCTAGCTTGCTAGTTATGATGGTTGTGGTTCGGCATCAATCACTGCATGATATACATGTGTGTACGTACATGATACGTATTCAAATTCTATTTTATACATCGAGGATGATCTATGCTGGAGTGCCGCGTTAGTGGATGGATCAGAATGGCGATCATCGTCAACAGAGCCTATTAAATTTTTACATGTAATGATACCTTTTACATTTTACCTGTGTTGGACTCGCTCTGTTGGAAAGTTAAAGCCTATGTACGGTAGCTACGCTAGAGACTACGGTAGGCCGCATAGAGCTACCAGGTATGTTAAGTAATTTCAAGCAGGCTCGCAGCAACAAAGCGTTCCTCGGGAGAGTTGCAGGTGTTGCATGGCTTCATGACGGACTGCCATCGCTTTCGGGGTCTCAGTCGAACGGGGTCTGAAAGTGCTGACAGGATGTGGGACCGAGCCGTACGGTACAGGGAGACGCAGCAGTTGTAAAAAGCATCTTTCGAAGGGGCACGAAAGATTCGCACCCTGAACTCTAATGACAGACAGGAGGCGGCCTGCGGCATCACCTCGACGCAGCCACGCAGCCACAGATCGTCTCATTGTCTCGACTGTTGACGCTACAGTAGGCTGTCTCCATCCAAAGAGGACCAAGCGGCCAATAATACAACTCACCATGGACAGCAACAACAGCAACAACAACAGCAACCGAGCCAGTAGCAGCAGCCTTGCTCAGGACATCATCCAGGCGTTGCAAGTGCAATATGCTCATGTCGAAGAATACTGTCAAGCTCAGACCAAGCTGGGCAATCTGCTGGTAACGCGAGGAAAAGAAGAAACCAAAGCTGCAGCCATTCCAATTCCTGTAGGCCATCAAGAATTCCAAGCCATTCAGTCTCTGGATCAAGTCATCCAACAGGTGCGCGAGGACACGGTGGCACTGGAGACCTTGGTGGAATTATATCATCAAGAAGAACAAGAAGAAGATGACATTACTAGTGATGAACCCATCATGACAATAAGCCACCATGTGCAGCTGCTCATGAAGAAACATCTGGACCTATCGCGTCGAGTGCTTCAAACTGTTCGAGAACCCTTTCATTCCAATGGAATTCCCAATGTGACCATCTCCACACGGCAACAAGGCGGCAGCAACAATCAAGTTCAATTGGTCGCTTTGGCAACACTACGAGCTTCCATGGCACGACTAGCCGAAGCAGTGAAAGGAAGCTAGCTACGGTAGAAGCTAGCGATACCTGACGAAATTGAAGGTTCATTCGACAATTGTTCCCAATCATCATGATGGATTTCTAGCCATGGTTGGCAGAATACTATCCATTTGGACGCTGATTCCTTTGCCATTTTGACCACAACTTACCTGGGTGGAGGGGGCAATCTACAGAATATCAGTCCCTGTCATGCTTTTCATTCAAAGAGCGTCGCTTGATCAGCCCAGTTGTCGTTGATTTCTGCGGAGCACTCCAATCACCATCTGCAAGAGCACTCCATTGTTGGGGTATTTGCCAACTCGGAGATTGCAGAATCAGTTGCTAGATTTGAGGTTGCCTGTGGCATTTTGGATGATGCCATTGATGACGAAATGTTTGAAGATGATGACATTGAAAGGAGGGATAACCCACCAGATATTGCACCAACGGCAACAGCTCAAGGAAGCAGGAATTAAAGTCACACTTTCCTACGTGGCTGGACATGCCGATGCCAAAAAGAAACCACACCAACTCACCTGGTGGGAACAACAGAACATCGTGGTCGACCGAGAAGCGAAGAGTTTCCTGAGAGCAACCTGGGATCGGGAGCCAAACCTCCAACACATCGGGGGGCAAAGCTGGCAGCTCTCATGGCAGGCTCAACCCCTGTCCTACTTGGACAAAACCAACCTCTACGAGCGTATGTACGCACCCATAGTCAGACCTTACTTGGCCCGCAAGCTTGCTTTGCCACACAAGACCCTCAGGAAAATCAACTGGAAGGCATCGAACCAGGCCCTCAGACGCATGCCCAAAGGAAAACGACGCTGGCTAACCAAACACACCACTGGTTTCTGTGGAGTCGGACGATCAATGCACACTCGGAAGATTTGGGACCACTCCCGCTGCCCACGTTGTGCCCAAGATGATGAAACCCCTAAGCATGTTCTGCTGTGTCCTAGCCGGGGTGCACGACTTACCTGGGCTGAGGCATTGGTCTCCTTAGACAAGCACCTTCGCAAACTTGGCACCAATCAATCACTTCGGTACGGCATCATAGAACATCTCCGGGCTTGGGGAAAGAGGAGCCCTCCACGCCTGGGACCTCTCCGTGCCGACGTCAGAGCTGCACTCGCTGAACAGACTGAGATAGGATGGTACAACCTATTGCTTGGACGATCAGCCACCGGTTCACCCAATTGCAAGAAGCCCACTACAAATCCCTAGGCAATCGCCGCAATGGTTTCCGCTGGACCACCGCAGTCATACGAAAACTTCTTGATATTTCCTGGGACATGTGGGACCACCGCAATCATATCAAACACAATGACCCACATCCAGCCTTCGACCCACACCTCCGAACTACCTCAACGAAGAAATAAGGTTCCAATGGTCTCTAGGCGCCGCTAGCCTGCGCCCGGAAGACAGACCCTATTCCGACATGGCCTCGACTCCATTATGGAGCAGACAACACAAACAAAAAAATGGCTAGCTAGTGTGGAGAACGCCGGTCTGCAGCGGCGGCAGACCAAGTCCAACTCGCAATGATCAGAACTACGAACGTAACCTGATGGAAAACTGGATCATTAGAGGTCACCAGCTAACTGAACCAACAACACTACAAACAACAAAAAAGGGCGCCATATCGCACCCACAGAAAACACAAACACTTCCATGTCAAGATGCATCTCATATATCCTTTTCTATACCCACAAACGGTTAAAGGCAAGCCCTAGCAAGAGGCTTGCATATACCGTTTTCAAATCTAAACGTAGAACATAATCCCTTCGGGGAAAGTGTAATTAATAAGTCAGCGGGAGCTGCGATACCTCGGCAGAAAGACAGATAGAAGAAGGAGGATCATGTTCGGATTGCACCCATCTTTCAAGCTAGCCCTGGCGACAACACCCGACTACGTCGTGTGTTGCCGCCCGGTATCATTCATTCCCTCATTGCAACCTTCTTTTTATTAAAAGCTAGCCCTGGCGACAACACCCGACTACGTCGTGTGTTGCCGCCCGCCACTCTATAATGTACCAGCTGCTATTCCCTTATTGTAACTCTAACCTTTACAGCTCCTGCTGGCTTATTGTGCTTTTGTGATGATTGCACTAACCTTAAATATTAATGATTTATTCCTACCCCTAACTTGTATTGAACCATCAATGTTCAGTTTTGTTGGCTTATGACTATCTCTATCTATCCTTATTTTGGCTTCACCGGAATAGGAAATAGCATTAAAGGGGTTGAGAACTCAGGCAGTTTACCTGCCGAGGTTAAGTTAACTAACCCACCAGATATTGGATGGCCCACCAGATATTGGCTGTTTGCTTCAGATTGAGAGCTACGACACTGGTGCAAGTTGGAGATTAAGAAAATGCAGTTGCAAGATGCATCCTCTGTGAATGCTTCCAAAAGATGAATCAAGAAAAGAAAGAAGACTACATCAAGTGACTGGACCACATCAGCGGAAGATCAAGACGAATATTATGACCACGGCCATGTCATAGTCTAGTATTGCAGTGGTTTGGTGTTACTTGAATCGTTCCGGCTATGGTACTCTCATAAAACCAGCTTCAAAACTGCGAGGAGTTGTCTGTTGCCGGTTTTCTGGTCCCCAATGCACCTACTGGGTGAACTGGCTGGAGCAATCAATCTGCAACACAAATTATCGCAATAGCTGCCTGTGTCCCGCTGCAGGCTATCGGCGGCACCTAATTTACTTTTAAAATAGTCTTATTTGGTGATTTATGGTGCCTCCAGTTTCATGTCTCGAACCAATGAATACCCACCAAATCACCTGTTGTTGACTCATCCAACTCTGTCTGTCACCGAACCAAAGAATCAAGTACCGGTATACAAAACCCACCAAACACTAAAGTTGTTGACTCATCCAACTCTTTCTGCCATCACATATATTGATAACTGTCTCAATCAAATCAACTCATCCAACTCTTTCTGCCACCAAAAATATTATCAATAATTGTTGTTTCACTCAAATCTCAAAGACAACCCCAGTGGCAGCTTCACTGGTTTCCCAAAGCATCTTGATTCCTTCTGGGTCCACTTCATGGGGCTTTTCCTCATTGATAACAGCAGGACCCTTGCTTCCGGCAGGTCCATAATGGACCCCCGATTGAACATCAGGAAGCATCATTCCCTTGAGAATGCCCATTGCTCCGTCTTCAGGTGTTTGTTTCTTGTCCTCTGCAGTGAGACAAAGAAAATTTTGCTGTGAGTTGATTGGTACAGTACTGTCCCACCTAACGGAAGAATGCCATCACACCTTACATACCATATTTTTCAAGCATCTCTGCCATACCATCAACACTGTTGACCAGGTCGGTGGCACATAGGCCAGGATCAGCACAAATTGCCAGAATTGGGCTCTTTTTGGCTTGCAGTTTTTGATGGAGTGCTTTGGTGAAGACAGCATTGGCCAACTTGCTTTGAAAGTACCTCAAGAAAGGAGCCCCCGAAAGCTTTCCAACATCCATTTCGGATCCACCCAAATTGCCACCATTTTTCTCAAAATACTTGCGCTCAAGGCACTGGTTGGGTGTCATGTGGCGACCAGAACTGGAATGGCTGACAATACGGGCATCTCCACCTTGCTTCACTAGAAGTGGAAACAGCTCAGCTGTCAGAAGAAAATGGGAATGATGATTAGTTTGCATTTGTGTGTCATATCCATCCACGGTAGCTTCATCTGCTGCGCCCATGATGCCTGCATTCCAACAGACACAATACACAGCAGTGTAGTTGCTCTTGATTTCCGTTGCAGCCTTTCGGACACTCTCAAAACTCTGGAGGTCACATTCAATGGGCACAAACTTGCCATTGGGGACTTCTTCCTTCAACTTGGCCAAGGACTTGGTGGCACGGTCAGAGCTGCGATTCAACAGAAGGACTTCACCTCCCTTTTCAGCAGCGGTGCGAGCGGCAACGTATCCTGTGCCAGAGGTAGTGCCAGTGATGACAAACACTTTGCCTTCGGCACTGGGCAATTCCTTCTTCAAGTCGTTGTACCAGACAGTTTCGATGGCCATGATTGCGTTTGAGTTAGTATTCAGTTGGTAGAACAGTGAGATTGTTTGGTTGAGACTGTTTTGTTTTTATGAGACTCATTCTTGCCACTCTCCTCCCATCTCTCTCGGAGGATCTTCCCGTTATTGCGTTGATAACTTGGATCGGTACGATCAGTACATTGATTTCGAGGTACACAACCCGTCCGGAAACGCTACTCCATGTAATTTTGACAGTTCACAAGTGTGAATTGAAACTAACTCATTGAACATCGTGACGAAAAGTTTGAACATCGCATAAAGCGTAAATTTATAGTTTTATGAGACTGTATGTTTCCGGACGACTTATTATTGGATCTTTTATTTTTTATTTAAGGGTGGTGGATGCTTTTTGGATCTTCGATGATGATCGTCGAGAGCCAAAGATCTAAACTTGAACCCTACGATTCACCCTACTTTACGGTACGCAACCAACTTTTTCAACGTTTGCAGCTACAGTCGTAAGCTGTCATAATAAGCATGCAAAAGTCTGTCATCCAAGCCTGATGAGTGGCCTAGCTCCAACACCGAACGATACCTGTAGCACCTTGCTGGCAAGTCAGTCTCAGTTCAATCCTAGCTCTATATGGTCATATACATACATGTAGCTTTTAGTACAGCTTTCAGAGTGCTTGGCTCCACGCACCTAATCGATCGAGCAAGGGGCGGGCAATCCCGACGGCGTTGTGTGTCAATATATTAGTTTGGCCTATTTAGTTCGTGATTATTGTGCCCATGAATGAATGCATGATTCGATTCCATCTATATGTAATAGAACAGCTCTTGTGCGGATGGCCCCTCAGCTTTCCATTTCGTTCAGTGTTACCTACGCGTGATTATCAGCATTTTCCGTGGCGTCCTTGTTGGTTTGGGACACTTCTTGGTAGTTGGACTTGTCAAACAACGTATAACCCAACAATCCGAGCAGCAAGATCCCGCCTCCAATTCCATATGCCATTTGATAGGCTCGTTGGTCGTTTTCCGTGGGCAGCAAGGTAGTTCCAATGCCAATGGTCGCGACGGCCAATACAATGGCACTATACCCACATCCCTTGTGCACCAATTCCCAAACGGTCCGCAACGCACTGGGTGCTTCTCCCTCTTCATTTTTATGAGGCCTTATAAAGGCATTCAAGGGTTGGAACATTCCCAACACCATCGTAGTAGTTCCCAATACAGCATGCGTGTAACTGATTTCTCCCTTGGCTCCAAAGGCATCAAAATTATTGACACCAATGGCAAATCCAAGAATGGTACAGAGCAATCCAATGATCTGACACGCCCGGTGAATTTGAAACCAGAGTCCATCGGGTCGATGTTTGAAAAACTTGGCGACAATGACACCGGAAGGCAGCAACCACCCCCATCCAATCAGCATCAAAGCACCGTGAAGTCGCGCCACTTGATCAAAATTGGATCCGGAATCGACAATGACAGCTCCCGGCGCGGCTGCCACCAATCCCAGTCCTTGACAGTATCCATCGCCCTGCATGGTATGTTGGATTTGTTGAATGCTAATCACGGCCGGACTGTCGGCTGCCACTTCCACGACGGTCGCCACGATGCCGGCATGAAATCCTTCGTCCAAACTTCCTTCTCCGGTACACGACGTACAGCGTTGGTCGGCATTGGGACGTCCCACGGATCGTGCCAAGGCAATCGTTTGTTCTTTGGAAGCATCATCCAATCGCCAGCCACGGGCGTAGCGCAAGTTGGACGTAATTTGAGAGTCGGGCAACTGATACAAGACTTCAAACGGCGAATTGAAGCACGGTCGGATATCCACCAAACAATGCACACTGTGTCGCTCGGGTTCTTCCAGTGTCATCACGCGAGGATTGTCCAATAGCGTCCCGCGTTCAATGCAGAAAAAATCCATCACGTAGCCTTCCACGCAAATCTCGTCGCCCACTTGGAATGCACTGGCAGTAGATGTAGCTGCTTGTGGTGGTTGTGTTTGTGCCATGACAGCGCCACCACTCAAGAGAGCAGTCAGTAGTAGTAGTGATGTTGTCTTCATTGTGGTATTGTTTCTTGGTGTTATTATTTGTGTGCCAATGCTCATGCTATGAGACTGTGGTTCTTTCATCTTGGATCTTGATGACATCCTTCTCGAGCCTCGAGCCGCGACTTCTATTCCAGCCTGAACAGGTTCCGGCTTCCGAGAACCCACAAACAGCTCAAGAACCCTTTTTTGAAACAGCTCTGCTGGTTGGATCTAATGTCACGTCTTCGCCTTCAAGATCCCGCGCAAGCCCGGTTGCGTTTCTCAAATCTCGAACAGGAGTTGCACACAGTCACCGTACGTGCCTCCGTGCACCGTACAACACATACAGTACGGTACGATTCCTCTGAGATCGAATGATTGAATGATTGAATCATTCAATCGAACCGTTCTAATAAAGATCGTTCCAGCACCATACTCATGCCAAAAGAACTCAAGCCACAGTACGTCGTTGGCGTACCGGTATTCAAGTAAAGAGGCAACAAACGCGCAAATCCCGTAGGATCGATCTGGTCCTCCAAACCAACAAGGGGGTAAACCTTATCGGATTTTCGATGGATGCCACAACTAACCATTCATCACAAACTATCGGATGGACTTCGTTTTCTCTGCCCTGTTTTGACCTACTGCCCCTCTTGGTAGTCTATTAGAAACATACAGTCCCTACTCGCTGGCCAGCCGTGCATACAGTGTATCAAAACAACTATGGATGACTTCTTCTTGGATGCACTCAAGCACCCACCAGATCTGAAAGCAAAAAGGGTCTGTTGTGGCTGCAAGAAGGAAGAGCCAGCCAACAAGCCATTTAAGTTACAATGTAGCCGGTGCAAAGATGAAGGCTTTGTTCCGGCTCTCTTTTGTGCAAAAAAGTGCTACAAACAAGCCTGGCCAAAACACAAAGAATGGCATGAAACGAAGGAACGAGAAACCAGGGATGTTGATGCTGTACATCAGTCTCGTTTGAAGCTTAGCATCCTGGAGGACATCCTGGAGAACCAAGGGAGTTCTGAATATTATTCATTGGTTGTGGCTGGACTACGAAAGATGGATTCTGGTGACTTTGCAGGTGCCAAGAAGCAGTTGCGTAAAGCACAAAAGCTTGATACAAGACGGCCAGAAGCATTTTTGAACCTTGCCCAATGCTTTTATGCGTCAGGAATGCAGCAGGAATTCATCTCAAACATCCAAGAAGTAATCAAGCGATGGGCCTTGGTTGCATTGACAGGCAATTACACCGATGGTCGCTTTGTGGATTTGAAGGGTGATGAGATGTGGAACTAGTCTAAATATGTGCATGATATCTGTGGACATTACATGGATGCACGTCATGTTAAATGGAGGGAGTCACAAATACCAACTTGGTTTCGCCATGATGACATACTCATTCGAGTTACAAAAGTGGCACTTGAATCAACGAAGAAGAGAGAAAATGCGAATCCTGATACGATCATCGGAATGACATGTATTCGAGCACAGGTTCTCTCTAATCGAGTTCATGATATTTCAAAGAAGTTTGAAACTATGGTCGACAACCGCACACCTCAACAGCTGCTGGAAGCATTGGCGCTCTATAGGATTCTTTCAAAAGATGGACCAGCCTGTCTCTCTAAGTTGTTTGAATCACAAGCTGCAGGGCTGGGGGATATTCTAGTAGGAGCTCATCAGAACAGCAAACAACCCACATCCAGCAATGACAATGAACAACCGGTCATCAGACCTCATTCTTGGGTAATGCTGTGTGGTCTCACCAGCCCTTCTGGCACTGAAATGAACGGGAAGTTGGGCTGTGTCCGTGAGAATGGCTTTCAACATAAACGACATCTTGTGACAGTGGATGGATATGATGGAGTCAAGTGCATCAAACCTGAAAACTTGATGGAGATTCCAGTTGATGAGTACCGTGAGGCTTTGATTTCCACCTTGGGGGAAGAAATGCAATGGAGGCTTATGAGGGCTTTGGTGGAATGTGCAGCACAACATAAACAAGAGGAGCCAAACTCGGAAAAGACGAAAGCACCACAGTCAGAATGTTGAGTTTGCTCTATGGAAAACAGCACTTGATGGCATGCAGGAAGGTCTTTCTACCGGTTCCGAGTTCAACACTTGTTCTATGCACTGTTAGCTATAAATACATGGAACGTTGCTGAGGATTGACCAGTATCTCAGATACGGTACAAAGATTGGCCCTGGAATGAATCGGAAGGAGTTGTGAGATCGGTAGACGTCGAAGGGTGGAGAGTTGGGTCTTCTTGTGAGGAGTGCAGCGCTGATGGTGTGATTCGAATTGCTGCTCAATTATTTAAATCCTCTTTGTTTGATCGCTCGGTCGGGCTTATGAGATCAGTAGTCTACTAAAATAACCCCGGCTTATATTCCTAGATCTAGTCTAGTCTCTGCAACTTGGGCCAACAAAGCCTGCCCAAACTCTCTCTACACTGTACCAAAGCCACGCATTCGCATCTCTGCATTCTAGCAAGATTTACTATCTATTTATTGTTGACATGTTCTTTATTCCGATACCGCGGTGTCAAAATAGTCTTGCTGGTGGCATTGCCGGCAAATGCGACAAATTGACAATTGCGACACGTCAATTTGGGCGCTCCCACGGGAATGGCATCCTTGTATCCCACGGCTTTGGACGCACGTGTCGCCAAGAACGTCAATTCGAGCGATCCCTGTTGGTGACAATGGGCACACAGAGTCTGATCGCGAATCAATGCCGCCAATCGTGTCGTTTCGCAAATGGCGTGTTGCCGTGTTCCAGTCGTCCCGTATGTGTTTGTCGTGTTTTCTGGTTGTTGTTCTTGTTGTTTGGGTGGTTGTGGTTGTTGTTCGTCATCCGAAAAGGACAATGAAAAGTCATCCTCGTCTTCTGGACAACTCTTGCGTTTCTTACTATTGGTTGTTGTCTGAGCGAGTTGCTGTTTGGCTTGTGAGAATGTAATTTTCTGTCGTTGTTCGGGAATCAGCCATTGATTGTCTTTCATGAGTTTGTGTAACGTTCCATTGGGAATATTAAGGGCCCGACTGAGCGATCGTATACTGCGTTGTTCCGCGAGTGGAATCTGTTCCATGGCCTGTTTGATTTGTGCGGCATCCCATTTGGATTTTCCCTTTTTGCGATTGGCGGCGCCACTTTTGAACAGTGCCTTTTCGTGATGTCTCAAAATGAGATCGAGTTGCGATTGTTCCGTCAATCCAAAATAGTGAAGTGTTCCCATGAGGTGACTGTCGTCGTGTTCCTCCTCTTGGTCGTCTTCTTGTGGTTGCTCTGTGTTGGGATTGTTTCCTTGTAATATGGATTTAATTCTGGCATTGACAAGACGCCAAATGCGTTGAATGGTGGAAGGCATGCATCCAAATTCTTCCGCGACTCGTCGGATACTGCCTCTTGGTAAACTGAGTTCTGTGGGAAGCGCAGGTGTATACGCCAGTCGTTTTTGGACGGCGAAGTAGGCCGCTTTGCGTTGCTCAAATGTCAATTGTTTCCATTGCTTTCTTCCTTGCTTGTCTCTAATAATAGGTGGAGGTGATTCTTCTTCTGCTGCTGAATGATCCTTAGCAGTATTCGCAGCAGCAGTAGCAGTAGGACGAGCAGCAGCTTCTACTAGTATTTGTAGCTGTGGATTGTTGGTTCTATGTTTGGGTGTCTTTTTGGCTTTTTTCTTGGTTTGTTTTTCTTTTTCTAATTCTTGTTGGACATCCCATTCGGCCTTTTGCTGATCCATTTCTTGCTGTTTCTTGGCCAACTCGGCTTTCTGTTGTTCCAATTTCTGCGCTTGTGCCGCCATGAAGGTTCGTTGCTGCGCTTGTTGGGCACACATCATGGCCATTTGCTGATGATGATGTTGTTGTTGCTGAAACATAGGGTTCGTGTTAGGAGCAAAGGGAGCTGGTCGCATGGCCATGGGAGGAACCATCATGGGTGGTACTGCTGCAAGTCCCATCATGGGTGGCACAGGTGGTCGCATCATCATGCCCATGGCGCCTCTAGCTGCAGCCGCCATGGGGTGAGGAAACAACGGAGGAGGGACCACGCGGTTGGCATGGTTGTTCGTTGGATTCTCATTCTTTTTGCTCTTTGTCTTGACAGCGCTCTTCTTCTTCTTCTTGGACGCAGCAGCGGTGCTGTTGGTGGTACTGTTGCCCGTCGCGGATCCTGCCATCTTGATCTCTTGTCACTCGTCGAAATAAACAAATAAATTTTGAGCAGTGGTGCTGCGGTCCTTGTGTTTAAGGACACCATTTTGAATTAGAGATACGGTACCTCTACTAATGCCATTGGTATCGGTCTATTTATGTGTTGACTATCTAGCCTAAGCCCTTGGTCAGTTAATTAAGCAAACAGGAGCGCATGTGTTTTTTTAATAGTGACATGAAGAGTCGGGCGGCCAGAGCATGGAGACATACCGTACGGTAGATCCACCGGCACCCTCGGATGGATGCAGGATGCAAATCGAGTTGCGCACCGGTAACAGCTTGGTACCTAATAACGTATTAGATAACCAGGTCACTGGCGCTCTTAGCGGTCCATTGTCTCGTACAGTACCGTACATGTAGCTATTGATGCGAGTTTGCACTCGCGCTAAACAAACAACTCATGCTGCAGGGTGGGAATCATTCGTATGAGCCCTCGCCGTCTTGCTATTGCTGGAGGACTCGACTCACAAAAAGATCTCCAAACAAAACCAAAAACAGGACAGAATAAAAGAACCAAAACAACCATCAAATCATGAACATGTTCCATCTCCCTTCTCATGATCATTGCCTTTGCTTCTTGGTCTCAGCAGCAGGTTTCTGCCGCACTCGGCACTGTTCGTGGTCGAAACCTGCAACAAGCATGTTCACAAGAAGGGGGCAGAGCGGCTTCCCCTTTGGGTTGCGGCTGCCTACTACACACAATGCTATGAGGGCTCATGGGAGCAATTTCAGTGTGGGCCAACAGGTTTTCTTATTCCTTTGCATGTGTTTGATGCGACTACCAAGAGGTGCACTGACAAGTATTGCCAGGACTGAATGAGAATGGAATGGAATCCCCAGAAACTGGCGGATGTCTAGTGGTGTTTTCAACAACTCAGCTCATTGTACTTGAGTGCTGTATGTGAAAACAGATGAAGATTGAAGGAAGGAGGGTGGCACCAGCCAGTACTGTAGTGGAATGATTCAATGATGAAAGGTAGTTTTAACATAGTTAAAAGTTTGACAAAATCACCAGCATCATCCAAAAGCAACAGGCTCGTGCTGTCCATGCATACTTTAGTACAGTAGTAGAAAGCAAGCTACTGTACCCAAAGATCTTTTGCAAAAGCTTGGATGGGCCCTTTTTTTACTTCCACACGCAAATGTGGCGGGCCCGAACAATAGCAAGGCTGAGCCGAGCATTTTAAAACATATAGCCACGCGCCACCGAGTAGGGGCGGGTCCACTTTGCAGCGAGGAAAGACGCTTGCCGAGTGCCTCGGCATTTTAAACACAGCATTGTAGTCTAGTAGATTTATTCGCGAAAAGCAAAGAAGACCAACCAACTGAAGTTTGCCTGCAAGTACAGTGCACGGGTAAGCTCAACGCTGGAGCGCCCGTACTGGGATTTGGCAACTCCTGGCTCTACGCATTAAGAACGTCTGGCCATTGGGGGATTGCCCCCCTCTCAGTTGCCAGCATTCAACCCTCTCACAGCCATGGTCTCGCAGACTGTTGGGTCGCTCGTTGAGTTTGGCAGATAGTAATGACGGGATAACAAAACATCCAACTTGCACTGATAAGATGTCGAATTCAGCGACGCGACCTCTGGTACTGTAGTCATTAGCTCGCTCGACCGTCACGCCTGCAATCGTTGCGTGCGTCTCGGGTGCTCCACGTATGTAGCTCTGCCGCCACAACCGGTGCGCTTTGCTAAACCTCAACCTCATCTTGAATTCCAAACCTCTCTGCAAAACTGCCAAACGCTCGTTGCGCTTGCGATAGCAATAGACGACTCTGAGGAGCAGGGGCTTGCTGCTCGGCGGCGACCTCCTCGTATTCATCGGCAAAGCTTGCTTCTTCCAAAAGATTTTCTTGACTCTCGTGAAGTTTCTCCTCCCATGTCGAAAGTTCTTTGCTCTCATGATTATACGATGATTCAGTTTCGCGATGTCCCGTACCGGTATGTTCCGAGAGTGACGTGAATCCGGAAAAGCCGGTCCCAATCGAATCTGTATTCACATAGACCCAGTACGTTGTCAATTGCCCTAACCCTTTGGCTACAATCTTGTCTTGTCGTTCTGTCAACCATTTTCCACAGCCAGAAGCCCTCAACGCTTCCGCAGTGCTGGCGGATACGTGAATCTTCCCAGGTTGTCCGTTCTGTTCCATTCGTGCGGCCGTGTTCATGCTGAAGAAAGATAGCAATGATAGGTGAGTGCCCCAGTTGCTTGATGGGTCTACGATCGATGCATGAATTCTGTCGTTTGCTTACCTGTCACCGAACAGTTGGAATCGACCCTATTGTAGAGTAGTGTAGAGGAGCCAGACAGACACAAGAGGGGAATGAGCAACTCATCCACAAACAGATGGGCGGGTACGTACACCAGCTAGCTAGCAGACGTATCCAAGCTACCGTACTCACCTTTTCCCCTCTCAGAACGCCACCGGTGACACTTCCACTGTGCAGTCCCACTCTCAGGTTTAAATCTTTGGTGTCTTCTCCCAACCCTTCTGCCAAATCCAAGAGCAAAGCCTTCATCTTGACAAGACAATCTGTGGCGAATCTCGACATGACCCGGGCATGTTTTTTGACGGGAGTGGGGATGCCCACAACAGCCACATAACAGTCTCCGACTTTAATAAAAGCAAAGCACGATCGAGAGTGAGGTATCCTGGAGTATCAGCCAGGTTCTAGGAGGGCTTTCGGAATGCTTACCCGTTTCGACTTTGAAGACTCGTCTGCGCTTAGCGATTACATCAAAGGCATGGTAGACATGCTCCAAAAGTGTAAAGACTTGTGTCGGTTGCCGAGATTTGCTCCAAGCTGTAAAACCGACCATATCCATAAACAGGATCGTGGTATCCTCAAAGTGATCGGCAATGGGATTGCTTCCGTAGAGCGACTTGGAAAGCGCATTTGTTTCGGTAGATTCCTCCTGTTGCAACATCATGAGCGTCATGGGATCCATCATCAGGTCCGCGGTGCCCGCTGTGGTTACCGTGGGTGCCGTAGCCGCCATAAGTTCCACCCCCATTGTCATTTTGCCATCAAATACTTGTCCCTGTTGTTTCTTTCGTCGTTTGAGTGCCTGTTGTTTGATCTTTTCGTCGTGCACCAATCGTTCAATGACATTTTCGGGAAAGAGTCCGGCAATGATTTTCCGTTCGGCTTGCGCCTTGTGTTTGGCCTCATGAATGGTTTCCATTTGTCTCATATTCCTCCATAAGAATGCTGCCAGAAAGAGTGTACAAAGCAAGATCATGACACCCCCAAAGACAGTGTCCGCAGTGTTGACTTGAAAGGTATCATCGCCGGGTAAGGGTGTCACGACGACTTTCCATGTCCCATGGGCAATGGGGATGTGGACCTCCTGGACTCGTCCATGGTGATTATTCTCTTGAATGACCTGTTGATAGTCCACTTCCACGGGAGGAAATGCCACGGTGGTGACGACCGTTCCATTCTCCAGTTTGGCTTGGAATTGTGCGGCTCCCAAGTATACGGGTTCTCCCGTGGATCCCGGACGTGGAGTCATATCATAGACAAAGCACGCAATGGATTCCTTCTGTTCTTGGGCACGTCGTTCCAGCAGAGACGGAATGCGCACGAGGATTCCTGCAATCTCCTTGAGCTTCTCCGTTTCATTGGGCTGCGGGATTCCGGGATGTCGGATAATGACGGAATAAAAGGCGCCCTCTTGCGTTTCCTGCACCACCTTGAGACGAGTCCCCAGCACGGGCTTTCGTGTTTCAATGGCCATATCAATCTCGTACTGCTGAAATGGATGACTGTAGGTATCCAAGCCCAAAGCTCGGGCATTGGGAATGACCGGTTCCGAGTAATGCACGGGGAAGTAAAAGGGCGCCTCTTCTGCTTGCATCAAGAACTTGACTCCGACTTTGCCCGTTTCGGGGTCGACGACGCCCTTGAATCCCTTGAAGCCAGTGTAATTGACACTGTTGGGAGGATAGTTTTCGTCGTAATACGTCTTGGCCTCGGCTTCGTATGCCGGTCGTTCTTCGTGGGTGACATTGAAGAGACACTGTGCGGCTCCAAAACGGAGTCCTCCGCTGGTCAAGTACTCGAAAAAAGTCTTGAACTCGGCGCGAGTCGTCTTGCGATTGTGACAAACATTGTGGACGCTGCGGGCGGCGACTTCGTATTCCTGTGGGTATGTGGGTAGCAGCAGTAGCCAAACAACGTAAGGTGAGTGCCTGATGACTAGCTAGCTAGACAAAGCTAGAGTACGGTAGTCTAGCTAGATAGACGCAACCGTATGAACTTTTGAACTCACCTGCACCGTGTTGGCAAGGTCCTTGGTCAATTGAGTGGCTCGAAGTTCAAAGTGCTCGTCTTGTTGGTCTTTCTCCTTTTGAATCCCCAAGATAAGGAAAGCAATCCCTCCCGCAATTCCCACCAACAAGACCAAGGCCACCAACCATTTGCTGCGACGAATCGTGGGAGTGATGGAAGAAAAGCTCACATTGTCATCCTCTTCTTCTTCGTCCATGAACTCGTCCGTAGAGTCTTCCTCCTCGAGGACTGCCGACATGTCCAAGTCTATAGTCTTGCTGTTGTGGCTGCTCATGCTATTCTATGCTATGGTTGCTTTGTATATTATGATGTTGCTGGTGTTTTTGTGGGATAGATGTTATGTGGGTAGGTATGATAGATTCCCTGTTCTTTCCGCCGGTCAGTTACTTACTTTTTGTGTTACCCCACACGGAAAGTCTTTTTGTGTAACCCTACACGTGTGTACCCCAAGAATTGAAGTTGCGGGAATCTTCAATCGTTGTTTGCATGTTATCGTTATCTGGCTCTTTGGAATAATGACTGAAAATAATATAAGAATGACTGAATGTGGATGAAATCTGGAAGACTCGACTCGACTCTACAGCGCTGGTACATTTGAATAATAGATAGAGGACGTAATCTGGAAGATTTGCTGAACTTGTAAGCATGACTCAAAGTGGAATATCCACCCAAACCACCAGTTTGCACCTTGGAGAAAGCTCTCGAACAGACAGCCATTACCCGCAACTCCATTGTCTCAAACCCGAAGCAAGACCAAGAAAAGTGATGTAAGAGCTGACGGAAGAAAGTTGAAAGTTGACTGTTGACAGCGGAATCGCTGCTGTACTACTGAGTGCTGTAGACGAAGTTAAAAATATTATGAATACGATTGCGAGTACGGTACGTACGGTACTGGCTTGAATGTATCATACGTACTCTCAGTACCGTAGTACGGCTACCAGTAGGTACGATACTAGCTAGTAGTACTGGTATGTACTAATAACGAAAATCCTATGTCTCATAATTTAGCCCATAATTGTTACGAGGTATGACCGGAATGTTTCCAGCGATCGGGATGCTGAAGAGCCTGCTTTTGGCTTTTGGATGCACAGTTCCAGCCATTGTTAAGTCATTTCAGAAGCCTGAACGGGCAACGTCACCTTCAAGCCTTCAAGTCATTTTGGATTGTCATTTCCAATTTCCAGTTGTTATTGAAAGGATACCCCAGGACTTGTTACAGGGGTGCTGGCCAATATGCCTGAAATGGGGTCGGTCTTCTTCCTATCGCTTTAAAGAATTGCTCAACAGCCCATGATTGCAGTCAGGGGTACCGGTACCGGTACTCGTACTAGCTAGTAGGTGGCCTGGGGTTAAGCCTGACGTTAAATTGGAGCAGGGAGCATGCCCAGTGAGAGAGAGAGCATGGGCAGATGGGCAGCCATCCTTTTGGCCTGAAGTCAAAACGTCCCCCGAATATTAGGAGAGATGGAACCCGTACCGTATTTGGAATCCTCCATCTTTGCTGTCTACCAGGTAGCTAGCTAGCCTTTGTTTAGCTTGTGTCTAGCTAGTGAGCCTAACCCCGTATCTAGCTACTAGCTAGCAGAAACGTTCTTCTGATCCAGACAAGTCGGGGTTTACCAGGCGCACTCGTCGAGTGAGGGCCAGTTACTGAGCCTTGCTTGCTTGGTGATCGAGTTGGCCAAAGTGGCCAGGGCTTTCTTGCAAGCATCTGCCACCATACGAGTTTGCACTCGTACTAAACACCACACTGGAACAGCCACAATACACAGACAACCCTCTCCATCATGAAGATTTTCCAGCAAGCAGCCATCTCCCTTGTCATGATTATGATTGTTGCCTTTGCTTGGTCTCAGCAGGTTTCTGCAGCACAGCACAGTTCGTGGTGGAAACCTGCCAAGCCCCCAATGTTCCCCAGATGGGGCCAGAGACGTGGAGCCTGGTTGACAGCGCGGCTACTGCACGGAATGCTATGAGGGCATGTGGCACCAATTTCAGTGTGGGCCGGCAGGTTTTGGTGTGCCTTTGCATGTGTTTGATGCGGCTACTAAGCAAGAGGTGCACGGACTAGTATTGCCAGGACTGAATGAGAATGGAATCACCAGTACAACATGTAACTGGCTGATGTCAAACGGTGTTTTCAGCCACTTGTTGTGCTTGAGTGTTTGTGAAAACAGAACAAGAGGATTGAATGGTGTAGGGTAACCCCAGCCAGCCAGTAGTGGAATGATTCAATGATGAAAGGTAGTTAAGTTAAAGTTTGCTTTGTCTAGAAGAATTGGCATTGATGCAGCTGGGAATCTGCTTCCTGAAGTGTTGCATGGCAATGGGATACAACGGCATGATCAAGCAAAAGCCACAGTCTCCTGCTGTCAACACTTTGCTTTAGTAGTAGAAAGCAAGCTAACCAAAGATCTTTTGAAGCAGCTTGGCCGGGCCTTTTTTGTCACTTCCACAGTGCTTGGCAGCATTTTTGGCGGCATCAATGCCCGTCAAGTAGGCCCCATGAGTGGTGGCAAAGTATTTTTCGGAACACGCTTCTCCGGCAAAAAAGACCTTGTTGTCGACGGGATCGTTCAAGATTCGGTGGTACAGATGCTTGGCCCCAATGGCATTGAACGAAAACGAACCGTAGGCGAATTCGTCTTGTCCCCATTTGGTAATGACACATTGACACGGCTCGGGCACATCCTGGGGTGCAAAGATGGTCTTGAGCTCCGACATGACCGAATCTTGAATCTCTTGATTGGATTTGGCTTCCAACTTGCGTGCTATGTGGCCCACCGTGTTTGCGCACAGAATTCGCTTGCCTCCCTCTGGACGGAGACAAACAATTTCGGTCCAGAGTCCTTGTGGTTTCTCGGGATCTTCTCCGGTGACGATGCGTTCAATCCACTCCTTGTCGGCCGGCCAGGGCAATTCGGCGTCGTCGTCAAAGAGCAGCATGCACTTGTTGAGGACTCCCATGCCCATGCGGTCAATGACCAATTGTTTGTTGCTGGGCAACGGAGGATTAAAGGTAATGACGTTGGCCTTGAGGACCCCCAAGGGTACCGTGACAATGACGGCACTTGCTACAATCTTGTGGGACGCTCCATCAGCAGTAGTATAGGTTACGACGACACCGTCGTCATGTTCATAGTCAATGGCAGTGACTTTGGACTGGCAATGAACACAGTGTAGAATGTCCTTGGCATAATGCTTCAAGACGGCGCTATATCCACTGTCCGTGGCATTGGCCAGGGTAACATCTCCTCCCTTGAATTCTCCATCAGAATCGAACCAAAACATGCTAATTTCGTCCAACGATGCCGCCATGTCTTGTTCAAATTCCGCGTCACAAATGTACCTCATAAAACGCCGTTGTTCGTCGGTGGCGTTGATTTTATTCAAAAATGCATCGACGGTCTTTTGCAGCGTCCAATCATTGTCCACATCGTCTTGTTTATGCTCGACGTACTTTTTGAATCCACTCTTGCCGTTCATCAAGTACCCCCACATTTTGTCCGCTTCCTTGAGCGACATTTGCGAGCAGGATCCATCGGGCTGATCTTTCCACAGCGTCCGCGCTTCGTAATCCGCTTCCTTGGTTTTTACGCCAGACGCCTTGGCAATGTCGTAAATCGGATTCTTTTTGATGCCGTGGATCCACGCGGCTCCCCATTCCAGTGGAGTCACTCCGTCAGCGCCAGTATCCGTCCAACAGCGACCTCCGATGCGATTGCGGCCTTCCAGAATACAGCAATCGACATTTTGGTCGCACAACTCTTTGGCGGCGGCCAATCCGGCCCATCCGGCACCAATCACTACCACGCCTGTTTGTTGTTCCGGCATGATGATAGTAATAATCGGTAAGTACGCAAGTAGAAAGTAGAGGATGCAAATAGTACAGCTGCTACTAAACTAATCAATGAAATAGAAATGGATCGATGGGATACATGTATGTACACTGTGATTGTGGCTGCCACTCTTTTGATGGGATGTTCCTTCATGCTGCCTTCTCATTTTTCTTGTGCCAGGCTTGCACCTGGTGTAAAAAATGTTCCGAGAAAGATCCAAAAGATACGGGTCGGATTGCATCGTGGAAGATGAAAGATCGTGGAACCGAACGCGGCGAGGAAAGCTACCGCAGCTGGAAATGGTGGGCGAGCGGCGACCTTTCGTCATGATATCATTGGGAAGCCACTAAGTCGACAGACAGGGGTACTGTACTGTATGGGAACAGTATGTCTCGGCTCTGGTTCCCTATATACCGTATAGAAGCAAGGAGGGGCAAGCACCACTTGGTACTACCGTACGGACGACGCCTACCGGTAGCTGTGGTCGCTACGTGCGGTACTGCCCGGAGCCAACAACCAGCAATGATGGGTGCCTTTCTTCTAGCTAGACCCATCGCAGCATGAAGAAGTACATTTTGTGGCTCCTCTCGAACGAAGCCACGACGCGCAGGCACCGTGCCGGCCAGAGCTCTACCACAGCACGGTGTCTTCCTTCAGTGTACGGCCAGACCCACCGTACAATCAGGCACGCCACAGCAACATGTTTTCACACACTGTACAGTAACTAATTATTAATATTACACATATATATATGGAAGCCCGCTTACTCAAAGTGCCCGGTAAAGCTCGTCAATCTTTTTAATGGCGCGCAAACCCCTTGACACGATGGGAATCAAACAGGGGCGCACATCCTCTTCGGTGCCGGGAGATTCTTCGGGTGATGGGTTGATCCGCACCAGAACGACTTCTCCGCCCTTACTGGTGACGTCCCGGACCATGCTTTGAGACTCGTCACGGCAGGTTGGCACATTCAGGCCACATCCAATTTCCAAAATACAAACCTTGAGCGGCTTGTTGTTTTTGCGTTCGTGGCACAAATCCAAGACGGCTTCTTTCCACAAGCTCCAGCGCTCGCCCTGTGCAATATCTCGCTTCCATCTCGAGTCTTGGAACATGAGGACCGCAGGGCGGGCGTATTTTTGACAGAAACGGCACTGCGGCCAGTTGGACGAAACAATTTCCTCCTTTTTGTCCGTACCCGTAGGTGTCACTGCTGGTGTGCACCAATTGTTGGGTTCCTTGGGGGGTGGCATGTTCTTGAGAGGTTGTGTCCTACGGCTGCCTCCGGTCTGTCCAATGTGCGCCACACCATCCTCGCTTGTTGTTGTTGCCTGTGCTGCTGCCGAGTTCTTGGTAGGATTATGGTTGGAGGCAATGCGAGGAGCCAGCATGGTTTCCGTGCTGACTTGAAAGGAGTATTTCAAAGGTGCTCGAAAGACTCCTGCAGGGCAGTACGGATCCGAGCATTGCCAAGATTCGATATTTCCATGGCATTCATGGATCTCTTGGGCCTCGAAAACGTCATGAAAATGAGAGTCCACGTTGGATGTGAAGCTAAAGAAGGCACCTGCTGGGCTGGCGGATGGTGGCACCATGTAAGGAGCATATCGCATTACAATTTCTTCGTCAAAGGGACGTCGTTCTTCTACTTTGCGAGCAATTCCAGCGGAAATAGCCTTCGCGACAGTACCAGTGGCCGCAGTTTTTTTGTCTTGTTTCCATTGGTGGAGGATGGAATAGCCCTCGTGTGGCTGGGTGTCGCGGTAATCGTTGAAACACTGCCCCCAAAAGCCGTAAAATAGCTCCGGATTGTCCGACAGCAAATCAGGCCGGCAGATATCGGCGTAATCCAAGCCACGGGCCTGATAGGCGGGAACTCGGGCCACATCGGCGTAGACAGCCAGGCCACTATCGGCACTGAACCCGGCACCCGTAAACAGCAAAAAGACATCTGCCTCGGCCAACGCCTTGGCTGCTTTCTCGCAGTTGCTGTCAAAGTCTTTGTCGAGAAAGTTTTCGGTATTTTGCATGGCGCTTATGGACGGGCTCAGTTTGAAGTTTCCTGCCGGTGTCGCTGATTGTGATGTTCTGGCCCTTTTTGGTTCAATCAACAGCTTTTCACAGAGGTAGCGGTTTGTCACGACGAATGAGCAATCCGATATTTTTGTGTCTAACGTGGTATTTATAGGATTGCGGTTGTTGAGTTTGTTTACCACGTCTCGGTCATCCGCAAGTCTGAAGGGTGCAATACTGTACTTCCTTGGATCTTTTGGCAGGAGATCGGGTCGTCGGGTCTGAAAGATCTTCAGAGAGACCGGCGCGGTGCGTGGAACATGCAAGTTCAAAGCCGCATTGTGGAACCTTGCTGTTGTGAATGATGACCTCTGACAAGCTCCCCGGAGCAGCACTGCACGACTCGTAAAGTAGAGTAGAGGGTTAGGACATGGTGGAGAAACTTGGCCATTTAATGAGCCTACCGGCTCCACTGCCCAAGGGTGCCACTCGTGATTGCAAGAATCATGAGTGGGAACCAAGGCACAGATGAAGCAGTCACGGGAGACTAGGAGTCCCGCGTGATTGTGCAACATTCGGCCAACCCAAAAGCCAAAAGTGGGCCAGGGTGGGAGTGGAGCGGGGTGGGAAAAGGAAGAGAAGGAGAGGCCTGGAGTAGACAAGGCCTCTCTAGAAGGTTTTGACTAAGGTTGGTTAGTCTTGGCAGGTTTCTTTGTGAAGAAGAATCTGTGTGATGGTAGGAGGCGCCTGAGTGAGTGGAAGAAACTTGTCGTAGGTTCCAGCCTGGAAGGTGTAGGCACCGGGAAGTCAACTAATCAAAAGTACACCAGAGTCCAGTGAACTGCGCAGCGCTGGTATCTAAGATGTAGACAACGTTCGTTGTTCTCCGCACGCACCAGTGATACAATCACTTCCATTTTCCCAGCCTGTCGGTCCGCCATGGCCAGTGCCATGGATCTCGAGGCTCGTGTCTTACGACTCGATCGCTCATATTATCGCCTCGCGTGCAAATGCATGAGGACCTGCATTGCAATAGGTATGACACCTATTGATGTACATGTAACAGACTTGGACTGTCTCTCTTACTGCAACAAAGATCCAAACAAAGTTTTAGCCAACCAAGAAAAGAGACAATTTCCAAGTATAAAGCCCCGTGCGAATCCAATCGCGCCTCCTTCCATCGAATCCAATCGCGCCTCCTTCCATCGAATCTAGCTAGTAGACTACAGCGTAGTCTATGAATAGAATCATGCGGAATGATCGTCGGACAAAGCATCCAAAACTTGACGGGACTGCACTGTCAAATTCACGAACCAGTACAGTACCGTGCAGCTGTTCGGTACCGGTACGACACCGCAATGCACGGCATCATGAGCGACCACGCAAGCCAAACACAGTTTGGCGAACAAATAAATATGATACGTAAATCATGGGCTCTTTCCAAATTCATCGCGGTCAGCCGCAGCCAAGGCCCACTAACAGGTTGTGGACTGTCCCTCAATCCTGACCGAATGTCGGTACGCACCTCATTGCAAGGGAGCAAAACATGCACATACCGGTACCAAGCATTCTAAAATAGTTTAACCTCGGTATTTTAAAATACGCACCTCCTTCCCTGCCGTACCAGTACCCCCTTGTTTCGTCTCTTCTTTTAAAAAGCAAACCAGCTAACATGTACCAGCAGTCTAGAACTACCGTTCCACATTAGTCCTTCACAAAGAAAGTGGCGAGAGCCGCAAAAGCTAGATCAAGAATAGTAGCAGGGCACTTCATACATCCAGAAAAAGCTGAAAAGGAGCCACCCTCAGGCAGCACCAGCACCCGAGATTCTGCTTTGCTTTCTCTTGGGACTGAGTCGAGTCTAGCTCACCGGCAGCTGTTGTTTGTGACATCTGTTGGCTGACCCAGCCAGACAAGAAGTTGCGCTGGCCTGGACGTTACAAGGGGGACAATCTACCCATGCTTAAGTAGCATTTGTCGTCGTCATCGATGCATGTCATTCTGTTGCAGTCAAGCAAGAAGTGGGAAAGCAACAAAGCAACCAGCAACACACCACTTGCCGCACAAAAAGTTCAAAGGCCTGTGCAAATGTGCAAATAATGGCTCCAACGCTCGAACCATGGCATCACGACCCAGCCAGGCTCGTTCCCTGGTCTCTGGCATTTATTGGATGTTTGGCAATAGTGGATCCAATGGCTTCTATCTCTCCTCTAATCTTGTGGAATAGCTTGGAAATAATACAATAATCCTGAAGGCTTTTCAGTGGGCAAGCAAGGGTATAAAGTGCGGTCATGGATGACTTCTTTTCTTTGGGATGGGAAAGAGTCCGAGGGCAAACTGCAACAAGGTTGGGTTTCCAGTAGCCAGAGCCATCGAGCCAGCTGGAGCTCTGCTTGTCAAGTCGTCACGCCGTCAAGCAGCTGCGCAGAAACGGATACATGTACGGAACTGCATGTGGTTGGGTGTTGGGTTATCGCACTGTCAGTTTTCTTGCCACTGCTGAATAGTATTTATTATGGGTCTAAGGAAGGGTGTTGGGCACAGGCACATCGAGCAGCTCTCCAAGTACGGTTTCTTGAGTCACTTAAGTCTTGTTTAGGAGATAAAAGAAAGACTCGGAGAGAACACGAGAACACATTGAAGCAGGGGCAACAAGGTACTTGCAGTAGGTCTACACCATTAACAGCTACTAGCTAGCAATAGAGTACTCCTACATCGGATTCGCTTGGAGGACATTATTGTTGGCTCTTGTCAATTTTCTTGGGAACAGCCAAGACTTATTAGGGTCACAGCGTCACAGCTACCGATACGATAGCGGCTCATGTTGAATGAATTCAATCCAAAAAGAAGCTTCAGATACCACAGAGACAGTGTAGACTCTACCAATACGGTACGGCTACTATTAATAATACGGAGTACTCCAGATTGTAGCCCGGGACTCCGTGGTAACTTTCTTGCCTTTCTTCACCTACCTTTGCGTCATGGGGAACGGAAAGGTTCGAATTTTCAATAATAATGACTCCTTGGATGACCAATCTATGCAGCATTGGTCGAATGTTTCTTGTGAAGGTGTCTTTTCTAAGCAGTAAATAATGTTCAAAACACCGAAGAACTATAATCATAGACTTAAGCATGCTGAACGAAAAGAAGAAACTGACTGGTGTGAACATTGAGCCCAAGACTTATGGCTCACAGATGCGTTCTCGGCCTTTCGCTCCAAATAAGCGCTTCCGACCGGAAGTTAGCAGAGTTCCCAGGTGAGAGGAAGGAATCGCGTTCAAGTTTCCAGCTTTTGACCATCGATGCATGCCGATTGCCGATCCATCCACCATCCATCCATCCCAGCACCGCAGCATGCAGAGGCAAGGATACATCCTCACAATCAAAGAAAACCCTGTTAGGTTTTTTCTCAAAGCTTTCCTTTGCAAATTTACAACTTTTGCCCTCCTTACCCAACCTTCACTCTTACAATGACGGACAAAGACAACATGGAATTCGAAGACGAAGAATCCTCCGTGGTTTCGGAAGCCATGACGGATACTGAAAACACGGTGCGTTCGGAAGATGAGAGAGATGAGAAGAAGGAAGTCTACAAGATGTCTGCCAAGGACACGAGGCGTGTCCAGCTGTGGCGCTTTGTCGTGACCGTGGCTTTGTTGGTCACAGCTCTCGTTGTGACCTTGACCACCTACCGTTTCCTCAAGGATGAAGAGACAAGCAACTTTGAAGTTGCCTTTGAGCAATTCAGTCGTACGCTTGCTGAAGCCGCCCTTGAAGAGCAAGAGAATATCCGCGACTCCATGAAGAGTGTGGCAGCTGCCATTTCTAGTCAAGCTGTGACCGCCAATGCCTCTGACAGTTGGCCGAATGTCAGGATCAAGATGTTTGGCCTTTACGCTCAAAGTAAGTTGACGAAGCTCGACCTTGCCGCCATGTCAATCCGGCGTACCTGGCTACTTACTTGTCTAACCACGCTGCGTGCTGTTTTTCTCCCTATCCACACTCGCTTGCCCTTGGCCTCAGATGCTATGCAGCAGTGCAAGGTGGAGTTCATGGCGTTTAACCCACGAGTGAGCCCACAACAGTATGCTCCCTACATTGAGTTCATCAACAATAACTTCAAGGAGATGATTGATGAGGGTCACATGTTTCATTATGGCGATCTGACCCACATCTCACAGGATCCAAGGTTCAGTCGTCCCACTCCATTCATCAGTGCCGTTGGACCCGAAGGCTTTGGCCCGGACGAGCCTCGTGATGTCTACTGGCCCAGTCAAATGTACTCGCCCCCTGCTGGTTCTTATGTACTGAACCATAATGTTGGGTCATTGGACAGAGTTGCAACTGCCCTTGTGGCCTTGGAACACTTGCAGTATGACACTGTATTTACTGGTGCCAATGGAGAAGACACTACCACTGACCGCATCTTGGGGAAAGAGGTTCATGCCACCTACCACAGTCAGCTCAACGGCACCAAGTCGTCCCCGCATGGATATGCCCTCCAGCCCGTCCACCAAGATCCACTTGATCAAAACTCCAATATTGTTGGCATTGTCACTTCTGCCTTCGCATTCGATGCTGCTCTGCGCAACCTGATTCCAGATGGAGTTCAAGGCATTATCTGTGTCATTACCAGCACCGAGAACGCAAACTTCACCTATGAAGTGGATGGCCAAAATGCGTACTTTCTCGGCATAGAAGACCTTCATGAAAGCAAGTATGATGACTATGGAGTTCAAGTGGATTTGGCTCTACACACCAACCCTGAGTTCCCCACCACACCAGGCCATGCCCAATACCAAATGCACATCTATCCAAGTGACCGCTTCCGAGCTACTTATGACTCGAATACACCTGAGATCTTTGCCATTGCCGTTGCTGTGACATTTGTCCTCGTGGCCATTGTCTTTCTTGTCTATGATCTCTTTGTCTTCAAGAGGAATGAGAATTTGGTGGCAAAGGCGGCACAGAGCAATGCCATTGTGACATCTCTCTTTCCGGAGCACATGCGGGAACGTCTCATGCACGAAAAGGAGGAGGACCAGCTCACCAAGGACAAGGCAGGAAGGAGAAAGACTCTCAGTGGTTCCTTGACTGATGGAACCTTTGATGAGAAAACTTCTCGAGTTCACAAGCCGTTGGCAGATTTGTATCTTGATACTACTGTACTCTTTGCCGACATCACCGGCTTCACTGCGTGGTCTTCTGTGAGGGAGCCATCACAGGTTTTTGGTAAGAATCTGGCTGTTAGCTGTCACTTGGTTTTTGCCGTTTTTGCAGATTGGAAGCTTACTTGATTGCTGTAACCGAAACAGTTCTCTTGGAGACTCTCTTTCAGTCTTTTGATGGTGTTGCCAAAAAGCGCCGAGTCTTCAAAGTGGAGACTGGTGAGGTTTCGCAAATCGTCTAGCTCGACCATGCGATGGTAGTATTGCTCACAAAGGTTCCTCTCTGTTCAGTTGGCGACTGCTATGTAGCTGTGTCTGGGCTGCCAGGTAAATCACCAAAGATTGAATTATCCTATTCCCTCATGATTGCCAACTCACCATTCCTTACTTTTCTTTTTAACAGAGCCAAAAAAGGATCACCCAATTGCGATGTGCAGGTTTGCTCGTGACATCATTGCTAAGATGCGAAGCTTGACCAAAGCCTTGGAGGTGACCCTGGGTAGGCAAAAGAAATAGTGAACAAATCTTGCACTTTTAAAGAATCATTCTAACCAGATGTCATCCCTTATCTTCTTTCCAGGGCCGGATACCGGCGACCTTGATCTTCGAGTGGGAATTCACTCTGGGCCTGTCACTGCAGGAATCCTGAGGGGAGACCGAAGCAGGTTCCAACTGTAAGTCCAGATCTATCCTGTTGTGGTGGAGTCTGACTTTCCTTTGGATTCTACCGCTCACCACGATATTCTATTCACTTTATATCCAGGTTTGGTGACACCATGAACGTCTGCCAGCGAGTTGAGTCCTCGGGCAAAGCCGGTCGCATCCATGCTTCAAAAGAAACAGCGGAGCTTCTCAAGTCCATGGGAAAGGAATCATGGCTAGACAAGAGGACACATGCAGTGAATGCAAAGGGTCTTGGTGAAATGGTCACATACTGGATCAGTGTTGCTGGCGAACGAGCTGGAAGTGTTACTTCCCGTGGAAGTTTTGACGACCTCCACTTTGGAACTACAAGGAACAATCACACAGATGGGGTGAAACCAATCAAGGAGTTGGATGCACGGTAAGTTGTGCTCCCTACTGCACTTCTTTGATCTGTTCGATATCTTACCCATCCTTATTATGTTATGTTGCAGAATGAACCGCCTGATCAGCTGGAATTGTGAAATGCTGCTTGAGATTATGCAGCAGGTTGTTGCCAGACGCTCCGCCAAGCAAGCCAAGAAGAGATCCCTATCGAACAGAGTAATTCTGCCAGAGAAGGAAAACACCAACCCAATCAGTCAAGTTAAAGAGATCATCCACCTGCCAGGTTTTGATGCAGCGGCAGCAGAAAAGCAGCAGAATCCAGCTGATGTTGAGATTCCTTCCCAGGTTGTCAAGGAGCTCCACCTCTTGGTTAGCGAAATAGCCAGGTTGTACAATGACAACCCCTTCCACAGTAAGTGTGACGACTCACTCGACTCTACTGGTCACAGCTTTCTTGAATCTTTCTGGCTAAGCTTGATTATCCTTGTCTCTTGATTCCGTAAGACTTTGATCATGCATCCCATGTTGTGATGAGTGTGATCAAACTGACGAGTCGAATTGTGGCTACCAGTGACAATGATCAAGTTGAGAGTGCTGCCAAACTCCATGAGTAAGTCCCAGTCACTTGGTCTTGTCTCCCTTATTCGAAGGGGCTTCCTCTTACCAATGTCCTTTCTAAAACACAACCTTGTAGCCACACATACGGCATTACCAGTGATCCGCTGACCCAGTTTGCTTGTGCCTTCTCTGCCTTGATTCATGATGCTGGTAAGAAAATGAGACCTTTAGAGTTGGATTCTACAGGATTGCGGCTAACTATTCAACTTCTGATTCATCCATTTGAACAGATCATGTTGGAGTGAGCAATGCTCAACTGGTCAAGGAAGGCACTGACCTGGCAGTGAGATATGAGGGGCGGAGTGTGGCCGAACAGAACTCGCTGGATTTGAGTTGGGAGTTGTTGATGGAGCGTCGTTTTGAGACATTCCGGTCCTTCCTCTTCAGTGACTCAGCCGAACTCACTCGCTTCAGGCAACTGGTGGTGAATGTAAGTGGTAGCCATGATGGAATTGTGGCACCGGCAATCTCTTCTCTCTAACCCAAGCTTTCATTTTCCCTGCAGTCGGTGATGAGCACTGACATTGTCGACAAAGACATGAAAACTCTCCGCAATGGCAGATGGGACAAGGCCTTCAAGAAAGGAGACAACGTCGACTTTGAGGATGAGAGCAAGACTGATGAAGTCAACAGGAAGGCAACGATAGTGGTAAGTACCAACTAGGAATCCCTCCCTGGTGCAACCAACCCTTCAGCCGCTAATGCCCCTCTCTTTTGGCTTGTTCTTCCAACCATAGATTGAACACATCATCCAAGCATCTGACATCAGGTAGGCATGGTTGGGCCACTTTCTTCTTGGGACTGTCATTGCATTATATAACTCATGCCCCTTGTTCCCATGTTCTTGCTCCCACTACAGCCACACTATGCAGCACTGGCATGTGTACAGGGTAAGTGGAATGATGTGATGCAAAGTTTTGTCCTTGTGTGGTTCATGCTACTGGTTGAAGGAGTGCACTAACTGTAGACATTTTGCCTGTCTTCCTGCAATTATCAGAAATGGAACCAGAATCTGTTTGAGGAGCTCTATGTGGCTTACTTGAATGGCCGAATGGACAAGGACCCTGCGACTTTCTGGTACAAAGGAGAGTTTGGATTCTTTGACTTTTATATTATCCCCTTGACAAAGAAGCTCAAGGAGTGTGGTGTTTTTGGTGTGTCCTCGGGAGAGTTCCTCAACTATGCCACCAAGAATAGAGAGATGTGGGAACTTCATGGTGAAGAGGCTGTGGCAGAGATGATTGCTGAAGCCAAGGAGAAGTATGGAGTTAAGAATGAGGATGCTGCCAAGGAAGCACCAGAACAAGCTGTTCCACGCCCTCCTCCTGTTGAGATTGATGTCTAGAAATGATATGATGTCTTTCTGGGTACACCTCCCTCCGCTTCTCCTCTGATCGCTTCCTTGGCCCTCCATCTTTTTCGAGTCTCCCCCCGTCCTTCCATCATTTCCAGGCTCTGTGAAACTGCTCCACCAATAAGTTGCTCAAGGCAGCAATATATATACATTTAGTAGATTTTTTTGGCTCCCAAACATGGTCTTTCGTCAAATGGTTGCGACCAAAGGTATAGTATCGTCTGCTGAGAGCATTCGATTCAGATTGACGACGAGCGAAGTACCCGGGGCTGTCGCGTTGTTCTGGACGAGGGAAGCAGTGCTGCTCTCATGACCAGAGGAAGACGGCCGGCTGTCGGACCTAGTAGTGCCGGTACGTTATGATCTAGAGTCAGTTCATTGTCTGTCGTGAACGCCAGGGAAGTCTATAGGTAGCTACGGACGTGATCGCCATCAAGAAAGTGGAGCTGTGAATGATTTACAATCGGGCCGCAGTCATTTTGTTCCAGCGGCAAGAGAGTGTCGACGCTGATACCATGACCGGGAGTGCCGTTTGAGGGAGACACACAATGTCTTCGCGGCAGAGCCAATAGACGGATGCGATCTTCGTATCGCTTTGTCGTGTCCTCCATTTTTTGGAGCGTCATTGCACAACCCATCCTTGTTACGAGCAGTCTCATGGCTGCAGGGATCTACCAAGTCGTACGTTTTTAGAAAAAGTGACTGAACCAAGAAGTAATCTACGAAGTCGCTCGTACTAAGAGGAGCCTGGAGCCTCCACTACTCTTGTGGTGGTGTCGTTCTGGCGATCCGCATTCTGCATTAACAATCTTCCAACGTGGAAGAGAGCAATGATCGATGTAAACCACAGATAGCCACTAGCTAGAGCTACAGAAGTGAACAATTATTGAGAATGATCGAGTCGGTCCCCAGAGTGATCTCCGAAGAGGAACTTCTTTTGTCAACGAAATCGAAGCTTTGCACTGTAATGGAAACGAACCTCGATGGAAAGGAATCGAATCGAATCCGTTTGCAGTGCGTTGTCATTCATCTTCTAACGAGATCCACCACCACGTGAACGCTCTGATTCATACCGGTAGACTGCCTCCAACGAGTACTGCTTTCTCAGATTCGATTCGATTCGATTCGATTCGGGAATCTGCCAAACGTGACTTCAGCTGGGGTTCACAAGACTTGTCATCCGATGGATATCACCGAGTGCCTAGAAGGTTTTCATTTGAGACGTCCCTCCTATCCTGACGTCCCTCCTATCCTGACGTCCCTCCTATCCTGTCTAGTGTCTGCGGCTTCAAGTCACCCTTCACGCGATTCGATTCAATTAACAGGCTTGACTTTCCATGAGCTCCAAGAGTACAATTCCCGACGCATGCAACGATGCAGTGCGTCGTCTCGACGAGGAACCTGCCGGCACTATATCGTACCCATCGTCGAACGAAGCCGTGTTCAATGCATTCCTGTGATCGAATGTCGTTCCTGAAAATTTCGCAATCTCTTGGGTTTATGCGTTCGCCAGGCTCACACCGCGGGAAAGCAACCTTTCGTATCACCCATGCAAAAGGAACTGTGTTCGCTGGCAACGCATTCAAACGGATTTGGCGTGCTTAAAATTTTTGACGTCTCGGTTTGCCACCCGGATGATCCGAGGGCAAGCGATGATCCGGAAAAACGGTTGCCAAGCGCCAAGTAGGAGCCCTGCTACCGGTATGACATGGTATATATCGATACCAAATAGTGCCACAACCAGGAACGAAATCTCCAGCCAGAAACCGTGATGCGCACCGATACGGTACCGGTGCCATAGGCTACCGGTAGCACTATGGCTTCCATGACTCCGCGCATGCTTGCTTGACAAGAAGGGCTACACTGTGGCTATAGTATGATTGCTTGGATGTAACGCTCGTTGTACGTATGCTGACAGCGGGCCCCAAGCTTTAAAGAGAAGAAGAGAAGGCCAAGCTCTGTCTGTGATCAGGGGCCAGGAACGCTGTTTGCTTTCTTTGGCGAGGGAAAAGACGACGACGACCCACGACGACAGGACGGCCAGGTATACCCGTAGCGCCGCGCCTTCCGTCCGCTTTTTGTTTCGATTCAGCTCCTGCCACCTTCATTCATTAGCTATTCTAGCTAGCCAGAGGCTCTTGATTTCACGTTGTATCTCGCACGTCCAGATTTCAACAACCGAGGCTGATGCATCACAACACCATGGACTTCAACGGTTAGATAGAAGGGTACCGATACGGCAGCAACAGAAATGAAACTCAAAAAGCTAATGTCAATTTATTCGAATGCTATGGATCCCGATAGCGCGAGTCGTCCGTAGTACGGGGAATGAAGAGGTCGGAGGAATCGAGAGGGACGAGGAGCAATAAACAGCAATGCCACAAAATATTGCCAAATATGAATGAGTGGAGGGGTGGAGGTAAAACAGAGAGCAACTTCACAGCTTCTAGACATCAATCTCAACAGGAGGAGGGCGCGGAAGAGCTTGTTCTGGTGCTTCCTTGGCAGCATCCTCATTCTTAACTCCATACTTCTCCCTGGCTTCAGCAATCATCTCTGCCACAGCCTCTTCACCATGAAGTTCCCACATCTCTCTATTCTTGGTGGCATAGTTGAGGAACTCTCCAGAGGACACACCAAAAACACCACACTCCTTGAGCTTCTTTGTCAAGGGGATAATATAAAAGTCAAAGAATCCAAACTCTCCTTTGTACCAGAAAGTCGCAGGGTCCTTGTCCATTCGGCCATTCAAGTAAGCCACATAGAGCTCCTCAAACAGATTCTGGTTCCATTTCTGATGATTGCAGCAAGACAAGACAGGAAACAGTTTCACAGTTAGTGCACTTCTTCAACCAGTAGCAAGAACCACACAAGGACAACACTGTGCATCACACCATCCCACTTACCCTGTACACATGCCAGTGCTGCATAGTGTGGCTGTAGTTGGATTGATGGAGGAAACAGGGAATGAGCGATACACTAGCATGTCAGTCTCAAGAAGAAAGTGGCCCAACCATGCCTACCTGATGTCAGATGCTTGATGATGTGTTCAATCTATGGTTGGAAGAACAAGCCAAAAGAGAGGGGCATTAGCGGCTGAAGGGTTGGTTGCACCAGGGAGGGATTCCTAGTTAGGTACTTACCACTATCGTTGCCTTCCTGTTGACTTCATCAGTCTTGCTCTCATCCTCAAAGTCGACGTTGTCTCCTTTCTTGAAGGCCTTGTCCCATCTGCCATTGCGAAGTTTTCATGTCTTTGTCAACAATATCAGTGCTCATCACCGACTGCAGGAGAAACAACAGCTTGGGTTAGAGAGAAGAGCTTGCTGGTGCCACAAATTCCAGCATGGCTACCACTCACATTGACCACCAGTTGCCTGAAGCGAGTGAGTTCAGCTGAGTCACTGAAGACAAAGGATCGGAATGTCTCAAAACGAGGCTCCATCAACAAATCCCAACTCAAATCCAGCGAGTTCTGTTCGGCCACACTTCGCTCCCTATATTTCACTGCCAGGTCAGTGCCTTCCTTGACCAGTTGAGCATTGCTCACTCCCACATGATCTGTCCAATGGGTGAAAGCAGAAGTTGAGTTGTTAGAAGCAATCCGGTAGTCCTCAACTTCAAAGTTTCTCCATCTCTTACCAGCATCATGAATCAAGGCAGAGAATGCACATGCAAACTGGGTCAGCGGATCACTGGTAATGCCGTATGTGTGGCTGAACAAACAGGATGTGGTTTGAAGAAGTAAAGAAAAGGAAAAGGTAAGAGGAAGCTCCTTTGAATAAGGGAGACAAGACCAAGCGACTGGGACTTACTCATGGAGTTTGGCAGCACTCTCTGCTTGGTCATTGTCACTGGGAGCCATAATTCGCCTCATGAGCTTGATCACACTCATGACAACATGGGAAGCATGATCAAAATCTTAAGGAATCAAGAGACAAGGATAATCAAGCTTAGCCAGACCGATTCATTACAGCTGCATGGGCGAAGTGACTCATCAAACTTACTGTGGAAGGGATTGTCATTGTACAACCTGGCTATTTCACTAACCAAGAGATGAAGCTCCTGGACAACCTGGGAAGGAATCTCAACATCAGCTGGATTTTGCTGCCTTTCTGCTGCCTCTGCATCAAAATCTGGCAGCTGGATAATTTCTTTAACTTGATCGATTGGGTTGGTGTTTTCTTTCTCTGGCAGAACTACTTTGTTTTGTTGGGACCTCTGCATCGCTTGCTTGGCAGTTCGTCTGGCAACAACCTGCTGCATAATCTCAAGAAGCATCTCACTATTCCAGTTGATGAGGCGGTTCATTCTGGATGACGAGAGAATTGTGAGTTAGTTGTCAAAAGGGGTTCATAGGATCATTCAAGTACCGTGGGGAGCACAACTCACCGTGCATCCAACTCCTTGATTGGTTTCACCCCATCTGTGTGATTGTTCCTTGTAGTTCCAAAGTGGAGGTCGTCAAAACTTCCACGGGAAGTAACACTTCCAGCTCGTTCACCAGCAACACTGATCCAGTATGTGACCATTTCACCAAGACCCTTTGCATTCACTGCATGTGTCCTCTTGTCTAGCCATGATTCCTTTCCCATGGACTTGAGAAGCTCTGCTGTTTCTTTTGAAGCATGGATGCGACCGGCTTTGCCCGAGGACTCAACTCGCTGACAGACGTTCATGGTGTCACCAAACCTGGATATAAAGCGAATAGAATATCGTGGTGAGCGGTAGAATCCAAAGGAAAGTCAGACTACTCTACAACAGGATAGAAGTGGACTTACAGTTGGAACCTGCTTCGGTCTCCTCTCAGGATTCCTGCAGTGACTGGCCCAGAGTGAACTCCCACTCGAAGATCAAGGTCACCGGTATCTGGCCCTGGAAAAGAAGATGAGGATGACAGCTGGTTAGAAGGATTCTTTCAGAGACCCAGATTCATTCACTCTTTCTTTTGCCTACCCAGGGTCACCTCCAAGGCTTTGGTTAAAGTTCGCATCTTAGCAAGGATGTCACGAGCAAACCTGCACATTGCTACAGGGTGATCCTTTCTTGGTTCTAAGGGACAACAGAAGGCAAAGTACATGGGTAAGAAGCCTCATCCGACGATCAAAGGACAGACAGAAACAAACCATCCAGCCTTACTTGGCAGCCCGGACACAGCTACATAACAGTCACCAACTGAGGCAAAACAAAGATTTGTGAGCAATACTACCATCGCATGGTCGAGCGACTAGAAGCCCCTTGGAGAACTCACCGGTCTCCACCTTGAAAACTCGACGTTTTTTGGCAACAACATCAAAAGCATGAAAGATTGTCTCCAAAAGCACTGGACGGAGATTAGACGAAGCAGATCAGTGTAAGAAGCATGGGTGCAGTACCAGCTAGAACGGCAATAAACTGGGTGCTTACTAAAAACCTGTGATGGCTCCCTCACAGAAGACCAGGCAGTGAAGCCAGTAATGTCGGCAAAGAGCACTGTGTAGTGTGTTGCAGAGTGTGAGTGCGAAGCAATAAATCGACTCGGTGGAGTGACTACTCCAATGTTGCCCAACTTACCAGTCGTCTCAAGATAGAGATCTGCTAGTGGCTTTTGAACACGAGAAGATTCCTCCGCAAACGTTCCGTCTGACAAAGATTTACTGAGAGTATTCCTCCTTCCTGACTTATCCTTGGTGAGCTGGTCTTCTTCCTTTTCGTGCATGAGGCGTTCCCTCATGTGTTCAGGGAAGAGAGATGTCACAATGGCATTGCTCTGTGCCGCCTTGGCCACCAAATTTTCATTCCTCTTGAACACAACGAGATCATAGACAAAGAAGACAATGGCCACAATGACAAAGGTCACAGCAATGGTAATGGCAAATGTCTCTGGAGTATTTGAGTCATAGGTAGCACGGAAGCGGTCAGTGGGATAGATGTGCATTTGGTACTGAGAATGGCCTGGTATAGTAGTGTACTCTGGATTGGTATGGAGAGCCAAATCTACTTGAATACCATAGTCATCATACTTGGTTTCATGGAGATCATCCAGGCCCAGATAGTATGCATTTTGGCCATCCACTTCATAGGTGAAGTTTACAGCAGCGATGCTGGTAACGACACAAGTGATTCCATGGACACCATCCGGAAGGAGGTTTCGCAGAGCAGCATCAAATGCCATGGCAGCAGTGACCATCCCCACGATATTGGAGTTCTGATCAAGTGGATCTTGATGAACTGGCTGGAGGGCATATCCATGCGGGGTCTTGGAGGTACCATTGATCTGACTGTGGTATGTTGCATGGACATCAGCTCCCAAGATGCGGTCAGGCGTTGTATCCCCTCCTGAAGATCCAGTAAACACAGTCTCGTACTGCAGGTACTCCATGGCTTCAATGGAAGGGGCAACATTTTTCAATGACCCGATATTATGATTCATGACATAAGATCTGGAAGGGGGCGAGTAGATCTGACTTGGCCAGTAGACATCACGAGGCTCGTCCGGGCCAAAGCCTTGGGGTCCAACGGCACTGATGAATGGAGTGGGACGACTGAATCTTGGATCCTTGGAAATGCGACTGAGATCACCATACTGGAACATGTGACCCTCATCAACAATCTCTTTATAGGTTGCATTCACGAAATCAAGGTAGGAACCATACTGTTCGGCACTAACACGGGGGGACCAAGACGTGTACTCCACCTTGGCGTGATCCATGGCATCTGGGGATAAACGTTCGAGAGCATGGACAAACAGTGAGAAGACACGAAGCAGTGTGAACGGATAACACGAAGGTAGGTGAGTTCCATCTACTTACTCTGAGCATGAAGGCCGAACATGCTGACCTTGACATTCGGCCAGTTGTCAGAAACATTGGATGCCACTGCTTGACTCGAAATGGTAGTCGCCAAAGTTCTGAGGGCATCACGAATGTTCTTTTGCTCCTCCAGGGCAGCTTCAGCCAGTGTACGACTGAACTGTTCAAAGGCAACTTCAAAGTTGCTTGTCTCCTCAGCCTTGAGGAAACGGTAGGTGGTCAAGGTCACAACGAGGGCTGTGATCAAGAGGACCACCATCACAGCAAAGCGCCAGAGTCGAACGCGCCTCGTGTCCTTGGCAGACATCTTGTAGACCTCCTTCCTTTCATCTCTCTCTTCCTCGGAACGCATGGTCCCTTCAGTCTCTGTGAAGGTTTCAGAACCGAGAGAGTAGTCATCTTCATCGTCAAAGAGCTCGTCCATTTTCTGCTTGTTGTTATTCATGTTTCTTGGGAGTGATCTGAAGTGAGGTCGGGCAATCAGGCGAAGTTCTTTTTTTATGAATACAAGTAAGTGTATGTGCAAGAAGCTGCGATCCAAACCAAATGTTTTTTTTCTCAAGCCTCAAAGCACCAGGCAAGAGGCTAGTACCGTATCGAACCCTTCCTGTTTTTGGCTTCCGTAAATAATCTACCTACTCAAAACCCCTTTATGGAACCCTTCCTGGTTGGCCGCAATGACAATCGAGGGCGCTGTACTGAAAAAGCTGCGAGAAACAGTTGCCCCCCGTGCTCCTGTCAAGAATCGGAAAGCAATCCAAACCCACATCTCATAAATCCTGGCTTCTGCTTTGAAAGTGAGATGCATTCTTTGTTCCCTTTGTTGTAAATTGCACGGTGTTATTAATAGTCCACGTTCTTATGTCACTTGGTTTCTGACTGAGTTCCTGGTGCCATCTTGATAAATCCAACGCAAATATTATAATATATAAAGTGGTCATCGAATGACTAACTAGTGAGCTCTGTGAGAATTGAAGAAGCCGCTAGAAGCTAGAAAGCATGGATTAGTATTGAGTCACTTTGCTAGTTCACCTGCTACCTGCTACAGTAATCAATTAATAAGACTTAGTACCGGAGTGCAAACAGCTCGGGAGCTTGGGCCTCTCTGCTGCAGCTTGTGGATCAAGCTACTTTGCAATAGAACGCAATAGAAGGGGTCACAAAGCTGGCAGCCAAGTTAGTTGATGCCAGATGATGGTCAAAGGTCAAAGACACCTGCATTCCCCGTTGGCAACTCTTACTTCATTGGCTTTTCATTTCAATGCACGGGTTCTCCAGTACTTACCCATACAGCATACAGCCCACTTTCTCAGTGAGTCGAGTCGAGCCAAGTCTCGGTGGCGAAGGGCACAGGCTCCAAGCTCTACAGCTTCTCCCACATACATATCTTGCCGTCGGAAAAGACTAGGATAGCTCAAGGATTAGAATTTCATGGGCTCTGGCGGATTGGTTGGCTGTCGAAAGCAAACAAGACACCGTTCTTGAAGGTGAAGTATCGCCAGCAAACTAGCCAGAACCGCAATTTCCTTCAAGTTGCTTGGTGGTCAAACATCCCATTGCTGCGAGAGGAAGATCTTACCGGCGCAGCTACGGGGAAGCAAATATGGGCTTGTCGCTGCCGGTAGAGTTCGCAAGGTTTTGACTACCATATGGATTGGTCCTCGATGCAGATTGCCGTGGAAGCAGACACGGGATTTTCATATTCTCATGCCGGCTTTTACAGAACTTGGAGGGGTGGCTCGGAGGGGGACCGCGGAGAAAACTGAAATGAATTTGGGCATTCCGCATTCTAGCTACATCGTGCGTAGCTCCTAGACTACCGGTAGCCAGACTCGGAGGCAGGTCGCCAGAACCTCCGTGGCGCGAATCGAATCCTTTTGGACCAAGCCCTACCGGTAGATGTAGTAGGCCCTATCCCTCAATCGACTTTCCACCGTTTTAGGACCAGCGAGCTCGTAAGAAACAACGATCCAGTGTTGGGCTCGTGCCCCCACGATTAGCCCGCTAGCCTATGGAGCTGCAGAAATTTAATCCTCTATTGTATGCTAGACTACAGTTGCCGCTCCTGGGGCTTGACCACAGAAACCAGTCTCGAGCAAAGGTGAAGACCCAAGTGGCAAGCAACTTTTGGTATTGCGAAACAAACGTGGGGAATCGGAATGCCCAGTCCCTGCTCGCTCCTACGATCGAGGAGGCTCCTCGTACTCCGAAGGCAGCTTAGCATTACAAGAGTGCGCGTCTGAAAGACAAAGTGTCTTCTTTCCTGGACGAGATGAGTTGTCAATTGGTCTCCAGCCACCATTGTAGTACATGGAGAGGGATACTCGACAATATTGCTCGCACTTCTGCTTCAAAGTCGTAGTACAAGTCTAACTCAGCAAGATTGCTGTCGGTTCGAGAACATTGTGGCCTCGTCTGTCCCAATCCATTTCGTCTCGTAATTCCTAAGCTTGACCCAGTTGCTGGCTTCCTCGCATTAGCGACTCCACAACCATTTCAGGTCTCTCTGACGGTATTCATTCCTCCACAGCTGACTCCACCCCAGCTGCGAAACAGATAGGCACCGAATAGATTCCAACGTACTAATTTGCTTATCTAAAACATGTACATAAATATGTATTCGCGATTGTGGGCACCTTTTTCAGATGGCATGATTTTTCAGAGGCCAAAACTGGAAGTCCAGGGAGTGCAAAGGCTTCACCAAGCAAGACATCAATCTCTCCTGTCGTAGCATGGGAGGGGTGTGGAATGTCTTGCTCTCTCTGGTGCGTCGTTGTTGCGGTGAGCTACTTTTGGGTGTTTCACAGAGCCTGGAAATGATCGAAGGATGGATAAGGAGGGAGACTTGGACACTCGGAAAAAGATGGAGGACGAAGGAAAGAAGTATACCCAGAAAGACAGCATTTCGGATCTAAACATCGATCTCATCAGGGAGTGGAATGGCTTGCTCATGTGCGTCGTTGGCAGCATCCTCATTCTTGACTCCATACTTCTCCCTGGCTTCAGCAATCATCTCTGCCACAGCCTCTTTACCATGAAGTTCCCACATCTCTCTATTCTTGGTGGCATAGTTGAGGAACTCTCCAGAGGAAACACCAAAAACACCACACTCCTTGAGCTTCTTTGTCAAGGGGATAATGTAAAAGTCAAAGAATCCAAACTCTCCTTTGTACCAGAAAGTCGCAGGGTCCTTGTCCATTCGGCCATTCAAGTAGGCCACATAGAGCTCCTCAAACAGATTCTGGTTCCATTTCTGATGATTGCAGCAAGACAGGAAACATGCTTACAGTTAGTGCACTCCTTCAACCAGTAGCAAGAACCACACAAGGACAAAACTTTTCATCACACCATGGCAACTTACCCTGTACACATGCCAGTGCTGCATAGTGTGGCTGTAGTTGGATTGATGGAGGAAAAGGGGGAATGAGCGATGTAATCATGTCAGTACTGAGAAGAAAGTGGCCCAACCATGCCTACCTGATGTCAGATGCTTGGATGATGTGTTCAATCTATGGTTGGAAGAACAAGCCAAAAGAGAGGGGCATTAGTGGCTGTTGGGTTGGTTGTACCAGGGGGGGAAGCCTAGCTCGGTACTTACCACTATCGTTGCCTTCCTGTTGACTTCATCAGTCTTGCTCTCATCCTTAAAGTCAACGTTGTCTCCTTTCTTGAAGGCCTTGTCCCATCTGCCATTGCGGAGAGTTTTCATGTCTTTGTCGACAATATCAGTGCTCATCACCGACTGTAGGAGAAACAACAGCTTGGGTTAGAGAGAAGAGCTTGCTGGTGCCTTAATTTGATCATGGCTACCACTTACATTGACCACCAGTTGCCTGAAGCGAGTGAGTTCAGCTGAGTCGCTAAAGACAAAGGATCGGAATGTCTCAAAACGAGGCTCCATCAACAATTCCCAACTCAAATCCAGCGAGTTCTGTTCGGCCACACTTCGCTCCTTATATTTCACTGCCAGGTCAGTGCCTTCCTTGACCAGTTGAGCATTGCTCACTCCCAAATGATCTGTCCAATGGGTGAGCAGAAGTGTATTAGTTACTGGCAATCCTGTAGTCCTCAACTTCAAAGTTTCTCTTTCTCTTACCAGCATCATGAATCAAGGCAGAGAATGCACAGGCAAACTGGGTCAGTGGATCACTGGTAATGCCATATGTGTGGCTACAGGATGTCGTTGGAAGAGGCGAGGACATAGGTAAGAGAAAACCCCTTTGAACAAGAAAGATAAGACCAAGCAACTGGGGCTTACTCATGGAGCTTGGCAGCACTCTCTGCTTGGTCAGTATCACTGGGGGCCATAATTCGCCTCATGAGTTTGATCACACTCATCACAACATGGGAAGCATGGTCAAAGTCTTTTAACAGGAAGGAAGAGACAAGGGCAGATCAAGCTTAGCCAGGAAGATTCATTACAGCTGCGGCCAATAGGTGGAGGGAGTCATCAAACTTACTGTGGAAGGGGTTGTCATTGTACAACCTGGCTACTTCACTAACCAAGAGGTGGAGCTCCTCGACAACCTGGGAAGGAATCTCAACATCTTCTGGATTCTGCTGCCTTTCTGCTGCCTCTGCATCAAAATCTGGTAGCTGGATGATCTCTTTAACTTGATCGATTGGGTTGGTGTTTTCCTTCTCTGGCAGAACTACTTTGTTTTGTTGGGATATCGTCATGGCTTGCTTGGCAGTGCGTCGGGCAACAACCTGTTGCATGATTTCAAGCAGCATCTCACAATTCCAGCTGATCAGGCGGTTCATGCTGCACAGCACAGAAAAATATGTATGGGTTAGAATCCCAACAGGATCAAAGATGTGCAGCAGGGAGCACAACTTACCGTGCATCCAATGCCTTGAAGGGTTTCAGAAAGTTTGTATGACTGTTCCTTGCAGTTCCGAAGTGGAGGTCATCAAAGCTGCCACGGGAAGTAACACTGCCAGCTCGTTCGCCAGCAACACTGATCCAGTATGTGACCATTTCACCAAGACCCTTTGCATTCACTGCATGTGTCCTCTTATCGAGCCATGATTCCTTTCCCATGGACTTGAGAAGCTCCGCTGTTTCTTTTGAAGCATGGATGCGACCGGCTTTGCCCGAGGACTCAACTCGCTGACAGACGTTCATGGTATCACCAAACCTGGATATAAAGCGAATAGAATATCGTGGTGAGCGGTAGAATCCAAAGGAAAGTCAGACTCCACCACAACTGGATAGATCTGGACTTACAGTTGGAACCTGCTTCGGTCTCCCCTCAGGATTCCTGCAGTGACTGGCCCAGAGTGAATTCCCACTCGAAGATCAAGATCACCGGTATCTGGCCCTGGAATAGCAGATGAGGATGACAGCTGGTTAGAAGGATTCTTTCAGATCCCAGATTCATTCGCTGTTTCTTTTGCCTACCCAGGGTAACCTCCAAGGCTTTGGTTAAAGTTCGCATCTTA